GAATAACAAGTGAAATATCCACTAAAGCAAAGCTTAAGTATATAACACCAACACTGACATGGCTGAGGGAGAAAGTGTGCAGAGGAATTTAAGTTAGAATTTTAGAGGGATTTGGACGGACGGAAAACCTCTTGTGGTCCCCATCCCTAAGCCTGCGATTTCTGTGATGGGGCTGACACCGTTTGATGTTCACGCACCGTCAGGAGTCCATATGGAAGAGGGGATGCCAGTGACCTATCATTGGGCAGAGGTAAGAGGGGATGCCAGTTTCACTTATTTGCTGCAACGCAAACCAGTAGACCTTCGCCAGTGACACCTGGTGAGGGGCAAAGAAATCAAAAGGACGCAATAGGTAGAGGCAAACATGCCAAACTAGGACAACTGGAAGTGGAAGTGTTAGGGAGACCCCAACTGAAAACCAACGATCTGATGAAAGGATGGTATTACCTACCACGACCATCGTGACCTGACTGTCTCCACACCTGGTCATAACGACATAGTAAAAAGGATAAAGAGACCTCATAGCAATCAATGGTCAGCAAGACCTAAGATATGTCGGATATTTTGTGAAGACATGAGATGAAGTTGAACCAATTAAGTGTACTTTCAGAGGCCCACTGAGCTATCTTACTAAAAGAATTCAACCTAGAGCCACAGCGGAAGCGGATTGATATGATGAAGATACGCAGGCATCTTGTGAGAGATCCTTCATCCAACTGTATCAACAAAATCAAGGAGTGTTCGAATTGGGTAGTTAGCGCGATCTCTATAGTCTCCCCTAATGTCTGGATCTGCGGGAGAGTGAAGTCCAATAAATATCGACGTAAGTAAGAGTTGGCTCGGGGCAAACCAAACCAAAGAGGAAGGGCAAAGGCACGACCAGAAAAATTTTCTCAAATCCAAGTGAGAAGACGAGATTTTCTGTTATACCGGATTGATTAGGAAAATAGCTCTCTCATTTTATTTTATAATATCTCGGGGGCTAATGAAACTATTGTAGTCAAATTGAATTCTCTCAATTCCTGTGGGATTGCACCAAAAATTCAAGTTCCTTTTGAATTTCTTTCTTGATCAATCACAACTGCTGCATTGTCATCATATCGTATTATCATACCGTTGTTACGTTTAAGTTCTTTACAGGTACGAACAATTACAGCTTTGATTACTTCTGAGTTTTCTAGGGACATCTTTGGTACTGCTTCTTTGATCACAGCAACAATAACGTCACCAATATGAGCATATCGACAATTACTAGCTCCTATAATTCGAATACACATCAATTCTCGAGCTCCGCTGTTATCTGCTACGTTTAAATGGGTTTGCGGTTGAATCATATTAATTTTGTAGGCTATTCTTTCAATGCAAAGGATGAAGAAAATAAAAGAAATATTGTTTATCTAAAATAAAAAACGGGGGTGATAACTGGTGCTTCTCCATCCTCGTGACTTGCTATGAAGGAATGTGGTTATCAAGATCATGTGAAGAGACTCTCAAATATTTTTACCTGATAAAATGTTAAGGTGTTTGGATACTTTGAATATTTACCATTGAAACATGAGAATGAGGACAAGTGACTTTCTTACTTAGTGGATGGAACACTCTTATACTGGGTAAATTGCGCCAAACCCCCCTGTATTATACGAAATCTGCGCGTT